CCTGACTACATAACCCAGTAATCCCCCCCCCTCTCAAACCCAACCAGGGTTATGTAGTCTTCCCTTCTATGACCTTTACCACCTAGATTTTAAGACAAATAGAAACTATTCAGTCAATTGACGAAGCTGGAAACTGTGAACTTACGCTAAGCATTTTGATTGATGACTCTCAGAATTTGACCCTCTGGGCAAAAGCTAAAATTTCCACAGGACCCCTAATTAAAGTAAAGTTTATCAGGAAATATGCTATTTGCATCTTATTCAAGATTTAGGAGTAATCTCAGGGGACTGGAAGACTGGTTCCTGCCTCAAGCGTTTGCAGGGAAAGGAAGCTGGGAATTTTTTTTCAAGATTAGCAGTGGAGGGGAGTCGGAGAGTGGGAATGAATTCTATAAGGAGAATCTTGATTATATGGGCAAAAGGTTGAGCTATCTTGGTTAGTGTGAGTGTGTGTGTGTGTGTGTGTGTGTGTGTGTTTTCTAGGAATGCCCAGTCTGATGAACTCCTGGGCAGCAGAAGAAGCTGAGAATTTGGAAGAATGAGGCCCTTGAGGCAGGGACTTGTTGAGGAAGGGAGGACCTATTTCTCCTGCTGTCAGGTCTCTAAATTGTACCTGAGGAATTTAGCTAGCGAAGATCAGGAAACATTTTGGGAATTGGAATTTACCTGTTGCAGAGCTTCAGAATGACTAGGGTTTCTAGACCTCTGACATCACTCTACTCAGTAGGAATAAGGGGTAGGGAATGACAAGCTGCCAGTGATGGGCAGCAAAGAAGAAAATATGGACAGTGCCAGGAACTGTGCTAAGAATGCAAAACTAGGTGTCTGCCTCCTTGCTCTCATCCCACCAAGGAAGGAGATCCAAATAACCCTGCACCTTTGATGAGTAGCTTTATATTTTTATAGAGACAGGCATGGTGTAGGGAGAGGTAGACTTGATATCTCAAGGACCTGAGTATGAATCCCTTCTCAGATATTGACAAGGCTGTGAAAACGTGGGCAAATCATTACTCTCTCTTTTGGTCTGTTTTCACATTTGTAAAATGGAGATCATAATAGCACTTACCTCACAGCATAATTGGGAAGACCAAATGAAATAATAAATGGGAAGTGCTTAGCAAACTATTTAAGGACTATATACATGTTATTTTTGTCAATATGATGGTAGCTATCACTCATGTAGCATTTTACAGTTTCTAAAATGCTTTCCAAATATATTATCATATTTCATCCTCACTACAATCCTGGCAGATGAGTGATATTATTTCTGTGGTACTGATGAGAAAATTGAGACTGAAAGAGATTAAATGACATGCCTAGGGTCACACAGGTAAGTGTGTGAACCAGGATTTGAACTTAGATCTTCCTGACTCCAGGTCCAGTACTCTATCCATGGTGCTACCTAGCTACATCTAACATTATTATTGTTTCCTTGATTTCTTGATATTCCTTCATCTTTGTCTCCCCCAGTTCCTTTGATATATAAAATATGTCCTCAGTGACTACTTGGTACTTAAGTAACAATAATAATAACTTAACATGGTGATCTATTGCTTATGTATTTTTCTCAAAATTCGTTGAAGTACAAATAACAGAATTATCACCATCTCTATTTTACAAATGAGGAAACTGATGCTCAAGGAGGTTACGTGACTTGCCTATGATCATATATCTTGTAAATGCTGAAGCCAGGATTTGAACTGAGCTCTCATGTTTCCAAGTCTAGCTTTCTTTCTAATCTGGTTCATGTTTCCAACAGTGCTTTTCTCTATTAAAAGAAAAAAGAGAGAAAGATGTGATTATATACTTAGGTTATAAACTCGTCATCTTCTGACACGATACCATAAAGCTGCATGTAGTGAGAGGTTTAGGTTTTTGAGATGATCAGGAAGGGAAGAACAGACTCTTATGTCTCTTCAAAGCTTTTTTGGGAATCTGTCCCATTGCTTCTGGCTAGCTCTTGGCAAGCCATAGTTAACAAGGGGGAAAGAGCCAATCTAAATTGGAAGCAGCACCTTGAAAGCATTTCTTCCCCCCCCCCCCAAAGTGTGGTTCAGCTGAAGAGTTTTGACTTTATGGCTTAGCCAGGTGCTTATTATTACCACTTGATGTTGCCATGACTCCAGCAATGGATTTCCACCAGTGGTAAGAACTAAGCCGTGATCATTTTCTCAATTTCTTTTGTTAAACTACACTTGCCTGGTGGTAATGTTTTCAAGTCCAGTCAGTTGGAGATGAGAATGGATTAACTTTGCTTGCTGACTTCGGCCATTATATGGAGAGGGAAATTCCATTTCTTCCTTTAAAATATCTCCCAGATTGCCCCTTTCCTCTTCATTCCCACTCTCACCACTGTGATTCAGCACCTTATCAACTCCTGACTACAGCACTGCCTATCTCCTATCAGCTGACTGCATTTCCTTGGTCCCTCTGGACCATTCAGTATGTTGCTGCCATTATTACAGTGTTGTGGAAAGAATATTGGATTTCTAGTCAGAAGATTTAGATTCTACTCATAAGATTTGTGACCTTAGTCAAGTTACAACCTCTCTGAGCCTCAGTTTCCTCATTTGTAAAACAAGAATAATATTTTTACCACTTAACTCAAAAAATTACCTAGAAAACTTTCAAGTGCTACATAAATGTGAGCTAATTATATTTTTCAAGTAATTACACAAATGTAATTATCTTCCAAAATACCACTTTCATCACATAACTTTCCTATTTAAGAACCTATGGTTCTGTTTAATTCCACAAACATTCATTAAGCTACTGAGTGTCAGGTGCTGTCCTAGGTGTTGGGAATAACAAGACTTAAAAAAAGTTCTTTCTCTTACAAAGCTTATGTTCTGCTGGATAATTGATGTTACTTTATTGTCATCTGCATCTATCTTAGTCAAACTCCTCTTGCTTGTCTTTCTAGGTTTTCCACGATTTGGCCTCGCCTTCTCTAACCAAACTCATCTCTTACTATTACCCAACTTGTAGCATTTGCTTTGGATATCAACATCCATTCACAATCTCCGAGTGTGCTTTTCTGATTACCATTACTGTCTTTGTGTTTTTGCTCAGTCTCTTCACTGGAATACCATCCCTCATGCACTGTACTTTTCTAAAAGAAAGATATATAAAAAGACTATAAAACTTTATCTAAAACTCCACCTGCAGTTATCTTACTCAAATTTCAAGTCCTAACACCTACATAAAATGTTCTTTGACTATAGTCACATAGTGACAACTCTTTCAGTTTAGATTCTATTCTTCAAGTACTTATTTACTCCATATTGTGTATCAGTTACTTCGCTAGGAGCTGGGGGTACAGAGACAAAAGGTGAACAAAACAAAAAACAACATATGTTGCTGTTCAGTTGCTCTCGACTCTTTGTGATCCCAAGGATCATAGCATATCACGCTGTTTTATCCTCCACTGTCTCTTAAAATCTGTCCAAGTTCATGGTTATTGCTTCCGTGACACTATCTATGCATCTCATTCTCTCCTGTTCTCTTTTATTTTTGCCTTCAATCTTTCCCAGCATCATGGTCTTTTCCAATGAGTCCTGTCTTCTCATTAGTCGCCAAAGTTTTTAAGTTTTAGTTTCAGTATTTGACCTTCCAGTGAATAGCCTGAACTAATTTCTTTAAGTATTGACTTTTTTGATCTCTTTGCTATCCAGGGGAGTCCCCAAAGTCTTCTCCAGCACCACAATTTAAAAACATCAGTTCTGTGCCACTCAGCTTTCCTTATAGTCCAATTCTCACGGTCATAAATTACTACTAGAAAAATCACAATTTTGACCATATGGGCCTTTGTCTGTAAGGTGACATCTCTGTGTCCAGATTTGCCATAGCTTTCCTTCCAAGGAGCAAGAATAATGCACTGAAGAACCTCACCTTCCGTTGGAGGTAGAGAGGGGATGGAAGAGAGAGGAAGAAAATGTACACAGATAGGTAAATACTACGTAGTGTGGGGGGAGCTATTAGCTAGGGCAATCAAGAAGGGCCTTTTGATGGAGGCAATTCTTGATTGGAGCCTTGAAGGGAGCAAATCATTCCTAGCAGGGGTGACAGCCTTTGAAAATGTATGGAGGCAGAAAATGGGATAACATGGAGGCTGGTTTGACTAGCTCTTAGAGTATGTTGGGGTAAATTATTGGAACCAATTAGGTAAGTTGGAACTCTGACTTGGAAGGGCAGTAAGTCCCAAACAGGGATATTTTTTCCCTGAGGCAATGGATTGCCCATGAAGATTCTTTTTCTTTCTTTCTTTCTTTCTTTCTTCTTTCTTCTTTCTTTCTTTCTTTCTTTCTTTCTTTCTTTCTTTCTTTCGCAAGGCAATTGGGGTTAAGTGACTTGCCCAGGGTCACACAGCTAGTAAGTGTCAAGTGTCTGGTCTGAGACCAGATTTGAACTCAGGTCCTCCTGACTCCAGGGCCAGTGCTCTATCCACTGTGTCACCTACCTGCCCCAGCCCCTGAATATTCTTGTGCAGCAGTTATATGACCAGACTTAAAATTAAAGAATATTATTTTCAAATCTGAGTAGAGAATGAAATAGAGAGGGAAGAGGATGATAAAAAGGAGATCATTTAGGTTTTTATAATAGTCGAGGTGAGAGGTGTTTAAGGCCTTGTTATTAAAAAGAAAGGAACAAATGGAGAGATGTTGTGGTGGTGTGTAGACAAGACTTGGAAATGGATTGGATGTGGAAGGTGAGTGAGAAGAGAAACTGAGGCTGATTCTAAGGTTGTGAATCTGGGTGACTAGACTGAAGGTAATTCCTTGGCACTTATAGTCTCAGAATGTCTGTTGTACCTGGTACCAAAATTTAACATACTTAATTTTGTATAGCTATTCATGTTCAACTAGAGTATGAATTCCTTGTGGTTTTGGTCTGTGTCAGATTACATTCCTAACAGTACCAAGGATAGTGCTGGACATATAATAATTAATGAGTTTTTGTCAGTTAATTGACTTTTCTTTTGTTTATCTTTTGCTGTATAGGACTTCAAAGTCTACAGTTGGTAATAAAAGGCCATCTGTGCTCGAAAAGGATATCAACTTGGCCAAGAGTCTTCAGCAGTATCTCACCTACCTGAGGATTCTCACCCGTGCCTCAACTGCTGATGTATATCCCTGGATTAAGAGTGACAAAGCTGCCTTTCAGGTTGTAACTTGTGACTTTGTCTTTCTGACTGTCCTCTCATCCATTTTATCATCTCTCATCTGTTCTCTCTTGCAACAAACTTATTTTAACTAGCTTTCTCTAGATTCCTGGTACTTTTCTTTTAGAGATTTCTCACCCTTCAGAATCCTATGATTTCTGATGCTTTCTGTCATACATCATGGGCAAAAAAGAAAAAATAAATGATGTAGTAGATTCAGAGCCCCAAAGACCTGGGTTTAAATCTTGTTGCTGAAATTTATTACTTAAACAACTCTGGGCAAGGCATGTAACTTCTTGGGTTACCAGGAAACTTCTCAGGACTTATCTACAAAATCGCTAGTAGGTTTTAATTTGCTTTGGAGGAGGCAGTGTCCCTCTGGATGAAATCATAAGTCCTTCCAGTATTTGCATAGACCAACGCAGGCTCATTTCTGGTCATTCAATAAAATGAAGTGAGGCAGAGCTGCAAGGGAGTATTAATGATGTAACTATTGGTCTTTCAGTCATTCAATAAGCATTTATTAAGTTTTTATAATGAGTCAGACAATATGCTAAGTACTGGGGATATGAAGAATAGCAGAAGACTGTCCCTGCTCTCAAGAAGTTCAGTCTTATGATGTCTTGGTGTCATTTTGATAATGTAAAAAGTTACCCAAAGGCTAGAGTAAGCAGCTGCCCATATGGTATGATTTGATGTGGAAGCACTACCCTCACTTATATTGAAGACCCGAAAGGTTTTGAAGGAAATGGCTCCTCCCCCACACCTCTCTACTGCCTCTCCCATAAATTCTCCAGCGTTTCCTTTGGAATAAGGCAGTGTGTCTCTGGAAAGACCCGGGTAAACATACACACATGCCATCTGATTGGGATCACATTTTAATATCAGCAGCCATTAGTGCAAGTTTGCTAGCCATCACTTAATAAAGAGCAGGGCCTGAGGGAATGATACCAAGGACAGCTGAGTTTTGAAGGGGAAGACGTTCGAAAAATGTTGAGTGCTATCTAATGAGAGTAAGCAAAACAGAGACACTCTAGTAGAAGGCCATGGGCAGCCAGGAAAGAGCAGGAGACATCACTGGATCCCTGCTGGGCTTGAGAAGGGTAGGTGCTAATAAATAATGAGAGAGTGCAGAAAGGAGAAGAGAGATGGCAGACACAATTTTCATGACAAACTTCAATTACATTGCCATGTTACCTAGTGCCAGTCTTGGCTATTGTCATCATCACGCCTAGAATTTCATACCTTACAAGTATCAACCATCTTAGAGAGGACGGTGGAGCCCAAAGAACATTTTAAAGAAGCAAAATAAAAGCAATGCACTTAAAATAAATGCATAGCCATTGTGATGCTTTGTTGCTATTGAGCTGCTAGATTGTGTTTTGGGGAACACAAAACACATTCTGACTGGACTTGGGAGGAAAGACGGTTGTTTGCTAACTGAGCAGCAGTAGAGTCTGGGCACACTCACATGTGAGACTGTTATACATTCTGACAATCAAAAATAGGACAAAACAGTGAAATACAGGATGTTCTGTGGTGTTCTGGACATCCGACAGCCCTCTCCTGCTCTAGTCTTTGTTATTGCTTCTGAGAAGCATCAACCTGACAAATTTTCTTTCTTAATACTAAGACTTAAACTAGGCTATTGCTAATCAGATTCCAGCCCAGCTTTAGATCCAGAACTGGAAGGGATCTCAGTACTATTTAGTCCAATAAGCTCATTTGATATGTAGCCAATGTAAGTTCAGACACATCCTCATTTCAACTCCTGCTCCCACTGAGTATCTAGAGCTAGATTGACTATATCTCCCCATCAGTAGTACCCCTAAGTACTCAGAGGTGATTCTCTAATGCCAGTGGTGGGAACCCTCATCAGTATACAAGATTTTCAATTTAGAATCATTTAGGCAGTCAGCCTAAATATTTTTAGAAAGGGGTATTTACTGAGGTGTTACAATTAGTATTATTCGGTACAAAATGTCCTTGCAGACATCTGTGACACACTGATGAGAGAATTGAGGTAAAGAGGGATAAGGTAATTTGCCAAAGCTGCATAGGCAGCTTGGTGTGACTGTGGACAGTGTACTAGAACTGGATTCAAGGAGATCTGAGTTTAAATCCTGCTTCACATAGTTAATAGCTGTGTGACCCTGGTCAAGTCACTAGAAAGAGCACTGAGTTTGAAGTTAGGGGACCTTGATTCAAATTTAAGCTTTCCTACTTGGTGGTTTTTTTTTGTTTGTTGGTTGGTTTTTTTAGGCAATGGGGTTAAGTGACTTGCCCAGTGTCACAGAGCTAGTAAGTGTTATGTGTCTGAGGCCGGATTTGAACTCAGGTCCTCCTGAATCCAGGGCTGGTGCTCTATCCACTGCACCACCTAGCTACCCCTTTCCTACTTGTTAATGGTGTGACCTTGAGGAAGTCACTGAGTCTTTCTGTGCCTCAGGATCCTCACCTTAAAATGGGATTGGTTAGACTATAAGATTCTTTCCAGCTCTGAATGTGTAATCTTCTGAAGCCCAAAGTGCTTCATGAGATTATAGATTCAAAGCTATTTAAACTAGAGTCCCGGTGTCTTGGTTTTTAATAAGTGGAAGGGCCATTTGAGTTAAGCATTGTCAATTCATGATATCTTCCTTCAGTTCATTAAAAAAGAATTTTTCTGATAATCAAAATTTATTTTCTTTCCCTCCAATTACCCTCTCCCATTGGAAAAGAACAAGAAAAACAAAACCCTTGTAACAAATAGACATAGTCAGGCAAAGAAAGTCCTGCATTCATGACCAAAATAGAATGTCTCATTTTGCATCCTGAGTTCATCACATCCCTGTCAGGAGGTGGGTAGCATTTTTCATAGTGGGTCTTCTGGAATTGTGATTTGTCACTGCACTCATCAACATTTGTAAGTCTCTGAAAGTTGTTTGTCTTTAGTGTTGTATTTATCGTATGTAGACTGTTCTCTTGGCCCTGCTCATTTTTTCTGTTTTTTTTTCTTATTAATTTTTCTTTCATTAACAAAAATCCTATGTTCCTTCAATTCATGGTATCCTGATAGGAAATTTTGCTTAAAAGGACTTTTGCCTAGGATTCCAAGGAAATTTTGTTCTTGGTACCTGAAGACCAGAATATAAGGCTTTAATAGGAGAATGAGATTTAGAGCTAAAAAAGGAAATTTTAGATCATTTAATCATTTGGTCATAGATTTCAACTTAGAAGGGACTTTCAAAGCTATCTTGTCCAACTCTGTAATTTTTCAAATGAGGAAAATGAGGCCTAGTGATAATAAGTGGTTTTCCCAAGGTCATATAGGCAATAACTTTTTTTAACTTCTTTTTTTTAAACTAGGAAATGGGGTTAAATGACATGCCCAGGGTCAGACAGCTAGTAAGTGTCAAGTGTCTGAGGCTGGACTTGAACTCAGGTCCTCCTAACTCCAGCCAGGGCTGGTGCTCTATCTACTGTACCACCTTGCTGTTCCCCGGCAGTAACTTTTAAAAAAAAAATTGCTTGGACCCAGATCTCCTCCTAAATCTAAATTTTGTACTTTCTATCAAATTATAGCTCCTAAAGTCCTGCCATTAGAAGTGAAGCAAAGGATGGGCCAGGCAAGGAGATCTGACCATTTTAAATATCACTGGAGTAAAGTCATATACAAGACTGGGAAATGTCTTGTTTACAAAGGTAGTTTGTGCTTAAGTGGTTCTGGAGCAGTCTCTGAATTTGGCCTGCTGATTGATTAGGGAGAAATTCTATATTTAGTAATGGGAAGCTGTACTGCTTCCATACCATTCAAATAAAGAACCCCACTGAGGCCCAAAGTCATTGGCTGGAGCAGTGGGAGGTAAGGCTCTAGAGGAATTAGCAATGATGGCAGGCAGGATTAGACTATTTCAGGGTGAATTAGACCTCTCATAGTGTTGTGAGATCATAGCCTTCAAATTTTATATGTTTCCCTTGAAGAAGGGGAAGTGGTGGTGCCACTATGCCCTCAGAAACTCTGCCTAGAAGCCTGAAATCATGGGAATTAATGTGGCTGGTTTCCCAGAGATCTGGTCTATGCTTGTAGGCCATGTTGGAACTCTGTCCCAAATCCACCTTTGGAACGACTGAAACAGTACTTGAGATAGCAATTTGGTACAAGAGCTTTGCTGTGCCTTGTAGCAGAGCATAACATATCCTATTGACAGTTCTAGGCTCGTGCAATAGAATGTGATTCCTTAAGAGCAGAGACTGCTTTTTCTTTGTCTTAGTATGCCCAGCACCCTTCATTCTGCTTTCCACATCTAAATGCTTAATAAGGATCTGCTGATTTGGATTGAATGGAAGACCCCTAGGGAGAAGACAACTTTATTGAGCAGTATATGTGAAAATTTGATAAATGTTATAATGTAAATATATATTACCTAATTTAAAGTATCTTCATTCTGCATTTTTCTCTGAACCATGACCCCTGCCTGTAATGGCTCATGCAAAGAGAGGTCATTCATATGGTTTGTACTTAGAAGTCATTCTCATAGTTTCCCACCTGAACCTTGAACTCTTCCCTTAGCTTGGAGAGTTATGTTGTCACCTTATGGAGCCTAGAGCCAGGCTTTCAAGCAACCTTAAGGCTATTTCTATACCTTGCAACCACTCTGTCTAACCGTTTCCAGCTTCCCTTTATGCTTTGCCACAGTAGTTCTATTTGTAACACAATGGGTTGGTCCAGAAAAAAAAATATGCTAAAGCAGCACAGGACAAAAAGTGAATTGTCCCAACTTTTAGAAAAAAAGTCTAGCCCCTAAACCCCAAAATACCTTATAAAATATAAGCAACCAAAAATTCTATTCCTATGGACAGAGCACCCACATAGAAGGATATGGTGCCCCAAGTAGAGAAAGGGACCACATGCAGCAAGAGGGGTTAGTCATATGTGGCTGCAAGTGATTTGCCCAGGTATTAAAGCAGAGCCATTGCCAATGTCTTGTCATTTGTCCTGCCACTGGACTTCATGGTTCTG